CCCTACTCCAGATGCACCAGTTCCTGGGGGCCAGGCAGATGGCGCCACCTGGAGAGTAGGAACCCACCCCTCATGCATCCTCCTCTAGCCCATTACCTAGCAATACTGCCATCACCCCCATGCCGTCAGGGACAGAAAAGCACAGGGCATTCCCAGAGCCAGTCTGTGTATAAACATAGACAGTTACTGCCACTTTGTGGAGCTCTGCACGTCACAAATTTGTCTCCAGATGCAGGTTGAGATAAGGCTTCATGCATACTTTACCTTGTCTATCTACCAACATGGATCACCTCAGCTTTCCTTCTCCAGAGGAGGAAAAATTGCATTTCATGGGGATGTGCTTCCCTGACATCCCCACTAGACTTGGTCAAGTTCCTCAGACTCATGTAGTTGATTCTCACCTGATCTGGAGGCATCTGTCTGGTATGGTTCTCACCTGCATAAAACCTCAACTGAAAATAAGGATGCCAGCATACAGTTCAGCCTCCACTCAGCTAAACTGACTACAGCACCCACTGCCTCCCCAGAGCTCCTTATCAGACTCCCACCATGGTTTTGGTCTTGGTCTTCTGAGACCTACAAAGGTTTCAGCAGCTGAGGTAGAGTTGGTATACAGTTACTACTTCAGATGGGAGAGCAGAGACTCCATGCTATTGCCAGGCCTCTGCTAAACCTGGTACCCTCTTGGTCCCGCACTGCCTGTTGTCAGCATGTTAGTGTATTAGGTTTACATAGGAGGTTTTGGTAGTCAGGGATAGGGGGGGAGAAACCCACAGGTGGCTTCTGTGAAAAGACACCAGAAGTGGCCACCACCTCAGACAGAGCCAGTAACAGCCAGCTCCAAGACAGACCTGATGCTGGCAAAAGGTGAGCCCTCTCTGATAACCTGTTTGAGAAAAGGTAAAAAAAACCAACCCCACAACTACACAACAGCAGCAGGGAGAGAGGAGCACAAGTATGTGAGAAAAACCACACTACAGACACAAAGGTCAGGCAAGAAGGAGGGGAAGGAGGTGCTCCAGACACCAGAAGAAATACTCTCCTGCAGACTAGGGTGAAGACCAGTGAGGCAGGCTGTGCCCCTGCAGCCATTGAGGTCCACGCCAGGGCAGGTGGATGTGCCCTAAGGAAGCTGCAGCCTGTGGGCAGCCCACAGAGGAACTGGCTCCTGGCAGGACTTCCAGTCTGTGGAGAGAAGCCCAGGCTGGAACAGCTTTTCTGGCAGGACTTGTGGCCCATGGGGGACCCACACTGGAACAATCCCTTCCTGAAAGATTGTATCTCTCAGACCCCACACTGGAGCAGCAAAAGAGCACGGGGAGGAAGGAGCAGCAAAGATGACATGTTACGAGCTGACTGCAACTCCTATCCCCCTGCACTGCTCAGGAGTCAGGAGCTGGAAGAGCCAGGAGTCAAACTGAGCCTGGGAAGAAGGAAGAGGTAAGGGAAAGTTTATATGTTTGTTCTTATTGTCCTACTCTGTTTACTACAATAAATTAAGTTTCTCAAATTGAGCCTGTTTTACCCACGATGGTAATTGCTGAGTGATCTCCCTGTCCTTTTCTGGAGCCAGAAGCTTTTATGACATTTTCTCCCCGTGTCCTTGCTGAGGAAGTGGAGTGATGAGAGACTTGGTGGGCACCTGGCAGCTACCCAAGGTCAACCCACCAGTCACTGGGTCCTACCTTTCATCAAGGGTCAGGGACCAGCACTGCAAAGTTAGCCTAACAGGGATTTCACCAGCATATTCCTCAAGCCAATTCACTGGATGACTGAAAGTTGCATGTCATAGAGCACAGCACAGAGGAGCTGCTAAGCCAGTTTGTTGGTATTGGTAAAACAACAGAAGGTGGTTTTTGTCCTTATTAAATCCAGCTAGTTCTGATGAATTAAGAGTAAGAGAATCCTCAAGTGCATGACAGCAGTTTCAGAACACATGGATGGAGTTAAGGAGTGTCACTATTTCACTGCAATCTAGTCACACACAGTTCCCTTGTCCACTTACTGTGACCCTTTGGCCCTCCCTTTGATGATCGTTAGTCCTCTCTCATTAAGCCTAGTTATTTCAGCCATGTGTTCCAATTGCTGTGCTCAAGGAAGTACTTCTCTTCCTGTTGGCCAGCCCACTAGAAGAAAGCATGCTATGTAACAGGCCTGCAGACAAAAACATCTCGATCTACTGGTTTGACAGCAAGGCACAGATCCCAGCCACTTCACAGCCAAATGAAATAGACTGCAGTCATTACCTGAGGGGAGAAGAACTTCCTCCTGAAGCCCTTACTCACAGAAAAATCCTTTATATGTTGTTTCTTCTCTGCCACATACATCAAGTTTCTTCCAAACATGCAAGTCAGTTGGCCATCTACCACTTCCTTCTTAAAGGCATTTTTTCAGGTCACCGGATCAAAGCAGAGTTTGTTCATGCCAACAGCAGATGACAAGAGTTCAATGAAAGTGACTCTGCTGCACTGCCATCTGGCACATTGTAATACTGGTCTCACTCCTTCACATGAAAAGCAAGCAAGCAAAAAAAAAAATGCACCAAGCTCCACAGGGTTATTACTTAACACCCCTGTGGCATGGCATACAGCCCAATTTTTTTAGCAAGGCTACTACTTGTACCCACTCTGTTTAGGACAAAACTTTTATTTGCTACATCTAGGCCTTGTTAAAGGCTGAAACTCCATGTTTCTGCCTGTTGAAGACTCAGTCCAGTTCCTCTCCTGAGCTAGGGTTCTCTCCTCCCAGTAGGGACACTGTTGCTGTAGGAACAGAGACTCCTTATGTCTCAGCTAGATATAACCTTTGCTTTCCATCACCCATAACAAAGGCCAACTTCAGACACTCAAATTATTGCATAACTATGATGAAAATATGCTCTCTGGTTCCTTTAAATAGAAAGTCTACCTAACACACAGATCCTCACTGCATATTCCTCAAAGAGCCAAGCCTTAAAGAACAACTCCTTTCAAATAAGGCTATGCAAATTATTTTCATCACACTATGCCTACATACAGGTGCTCAGAACAGGAAGATACTACAGCACAGGATGCTGAAGACTCACTGCACTCGTAAGAACTGCTTTGCACCCCCTGGTTTCAGTATAAGGGTTATTCCAACCTTTCTGAATTTTCCTAACACCACCTTGAATTTACAGTCACTTTTGTCATCTAGATCTTTCCAGGCTATTGCAGAGTGCCATCTTATTAAAGGAGAAAATAAGCCATTCAATTAAATTCAACACATGAGCAGCATTTCCCATTAACTGCACCTTTCCCCTGTTATAACAGGGAACAACCCAGTCTGGCCTCACCTCAGCAGATACACTGTATGTTGCAGCACATGTTAGTAGCTTCCTTATTTCACCCAGGAACTGCTTTTAAAAGCAATGCTTGTTTGCAGACAGTGTGATGTTAATGGTGCATTCTTGCTCCAGCTTTGTTTTATTCTCTCCCCACAGGTCTGTCCATGGCACCACTCGGGGTAAAGGTTTCCCACTTACCCATGTGAACAGTCTTTTAAACACACAGCTGTGCTTCTCTTGGTCAAACAGCCAGAGCTGCACAGGAAACATTTTGCATGTCCTTCTCATTGCATAATCACAACCCAGAGCTTACATCCCAGAAGATCCTTGATGGCTTATCCTGATCTAAAGTGTTGTCACTTCTTGAACTAGAAAGAAAATCTTGTTTCATATAGGGAACATTTGCAGCAAGCTGACAAAGGCCCCCAGTCCTCAAGAGCCAGGAAATTCACGCATGCTTGTGAAATGAGTGTAAGACTGAGTCACACATGAGCTCCCTACCACAAAGACAAGAGGCTCACTCATTCCATATTGTCTGCATATGTAGCAGGAAGTCTTGCTTTTTCATCAGTGATACTCAATGAGCAGCACAGCTCACCTAGCCCTAACCACAGGTTTAGGCATAGCTGCCATCTGCAGCTCTGCTTCCTTATTTACTGGGTTCTTATCCAGGACCACACCCAAGCCAGCAAGAAAGGCATTTTGGTTGGGTGGCAAAACACAGCAGTTCTCCGTGGTAACCATGGAAAGAGCAGCTGAATGGTACACAGAGGTTGGCAGGTCAGCACTAACCTAGACAACCCGATGCAGATTTGGAGGACTGCAGAGTCCAGCACAAAGCAGCATCCAGTATATTAAGAATGCAATCTGCAGTCAAATGAAAGTGACAAGGACACAAATCTAAATTATCTTGGAGTTATGACACTGAGTTTTACCTCTTCAGTCATTTGCTCCAGATCATTACTTAGGAGCAAAGCAGCTCAGAGACCAAACCTACTTTGCTACTAACAGAACCAGAAGGTACACCAATGGCAAGGTAAAAGTGAAAAGGCAAAAAGGCAGCAGCTCCAAGTCCTACCTTACACTTCCACAGTAGGATTAGTATTATGTTCTGATAATTGGTATTACATTCTGGTAAGCCAAGTCTTAGCTTTAAAGCCTAAAATCACGCTTAACAAATTTTAAAAGAATGTTTAGCTAAAAAGAGGTCACAAAAGAAAGAACCTGTCCCACCCAGTGACCACCCTCTTTTCTACAACTCCTGAAACTTCCCCTTCTGTATCTTCAAGCCAGACTGCCGCTCTTCAGATTATAGCCTTGTGACCACCAGCTGAGTAAGGTGGCAGCAGACTTCTCCTAAAGCAACTGTCGTTGCTATCCCATGCAACACCATTTCCTACCCCTAGCAATAACCCAGTAATCATCAGGTTGCATTCAACAAGTCTTTGTATCCAGAGACTAGTCTTTTAACACAGCAAAACCTGACACAGTAACATTACAAAATTCCTGACATTTTCAAACACAGTGCACTATCCAAAAGTGAAGAATTTACACTTTATTGTACTCATTTACATAGATCAAGAGGGATAGTTTTAATCATTTAACCTAGCTGGCTTGTTCAGATTTTTTAAGTAGAAAAGTTACAGGCTATAATTTAGCCGAAGCAGTCGTGCTTCAATGTCTCCATGGCTGGAGATCAGATTAGACTTTTAATGGTCTCTTCCAGCTTCTCTTTATTGGCCCCAGAGAACTCCTGCACCTGTAAAGAGAGATTGATCTTTAGAACTGTTGCATTCAACACTTCATAACATTAGTTGCATAGCATCCAGACACATATACACCTACTCAACTCTGCTACAACTGAAGTTTTTTCACCCCCAAATCAGGGAGTATTTTGCAAATGTTGATCTATTCATCTCCCACTCAACTCATGACAAAAACTGGCACAAGAGTCCATCAAGGATCACTTCCAGACTACCACTGCTGGAAGCCTTCTACATATAAAACAAGGGAAAGACAATTGATCCTGAACCAATGCCATGTAGGACTCAAATACAGGCTTGAAGATACTCTGGAGGTCACCACACAGCAAAAGGTGGCTCAAAGTTACTTTAGGTTGCTCAGGACCCTTACCAGTCAAATTCCGGAAGGATTGCTCCAAATGACCTGTCCTTGAGACCAGTCCTGTGAGAATTGTCCTTGTTTCAACTTACACAGCAGAAAGATAAAGGCAACATTCACATTTCAAAAACAGTGGCTCTGTCTTTCAGTACCTACAGGGGTGCAAGGTACAGACACTACAGGCTATGAAACTACTTGCCCAATACTACTGTGTCCAGAGAACTGCCAGGGTCACCCAAAACAAAAAGCCACACAACAGGGTTAAGCATATCACCTTCACACACTGTCACATCATATCACAATTCTTCCAATTACATTATGAAGCTGTGGAAGCTTACTCTGAGAGAACTGTCAAAGTCTCATTATTAGTCATAGTTTGGCCCCATATTGATTTGAACTGAAGGTCACACACCATCTGACACAACCTTTTCAGGCATAATTCCATTGCCTTCAGCCATGAAACCTCCATCCAGGCATTGTTTCACTTTAGAAAAGCCTGCCTTCAACTTGCTCAGCAAACTGAAAGCCCAAGATAACACATTTAGCTCAGCAATTCTTTAGTTCAGACAAACAGCCATTCACAACTACCCTACATAGGCAGCCCACTATGCTGTCAGAGTATGGTCTGCATCCCATCTCATCCACCTCTGGGGCAGTTCAGTCCTCTGACAGAGACAGGACCTCCACTTCACAGGTTACACAACCCCTATGTAAAGGCATCCAAGCAATTGTTTCAGCTTTGTGTATATTCAACCACATTAGAGACTGATGTCAGGGTGGGATTCCATTGGCACATATAGCCATGTCCCTGCTTGAATATGAGCTGCATCCAGAGAAGAAATACTAACCAAAATCAGTAAAAAGCAGGGTGCCAAGCAGACAGACTAGCAGACAGACTGACCTGTAACACTCAGTCCACTACCTGTGAACAATAAGGTTTGCTTCATCAGTTAACTGCTGGTCCATGTTACATTTGCTGCAGCACCAACATGAACTTGCTCACTCTCAGGAGTGTCTTAAGGTCAGCAGTGCCCCAGATATATTAAGAGAAAGCAGGCTATGTAGTCTATCATTCCCAATCTTCTTTCAAGTGTTTAGCTTGCCCACTCCAGTTCCAAGAGCAGAGCCTACCTTCTTTCTATTCTTGTAGAACTGGAACGTTGGCATGCATGTCACATCACAGTGTGCAGCAACATCCTGGAAGAGACAGAAAACAATCTTCAGCTGTGCATGTTGAAGCTTTTCAGTGTTTTCATCAATCCTCTCAGTTAAAGGGGATGACAGAATTGAGAAAATCAATACATGGTTAACAGAGTGGTGTCATGGGCAGGGCTTTGGCTATTTATACCATGGGACTCACTTTGAGAAATCTGGTCTTCTGGGGGCTAACAGGATACATCTTTCAGAGAAGAAGAAGAGCATATTTGGCAACAAGCTTTCCAACATAGTCATGAGGGCTTTAAACTACAACTGCCGGGGGAGGGGATCCTAAATACATCCCACTTCCAGGCCAATGACAGTAATGGATGCCCTGGGCCTGGAGTAGGACCACAGGCCAGGAAGAGAGCACCAACTGGTAATCCAGCCCCAATGGCAGCCCAACTTAAATGCCTGTATACTAATGCACAGAGCTATGGGGAACAAGCAAGAAGAGTTACAGCCGTGTGTGTAGAGGGCTATGATGTCATTGGCATTACTGAGATGTGGTGGGATGGCTCTTAAGACAGGAGCATAGGAATAGATGGGTATACACTGTTCAGGAAAGACAGGTAGGGGAGAAGGGGGGGGGGGTTGCCCTCTATGTCAGAGACCAGCTGGAATCCATGGAGCTCCACCTGGGGATGGATGAGGAGGCTGCAGAGAGCTTACGGCTCAGGGTTAAAGAGAAGGCAGGGGAAGGAGTGGGGGTCTGCTACAGGCCACCTGATCAGGTGGACCAAGTGGATGAGGCCCTCTATAAGCAGATAGAAATAACTTTGCATTCACAAGTTATGGTCCTCATGGGGGACTTCAACCACCCTGATATCTGCTGGCAGGACAACACAGCAGGGCAGGAGCAACTGAAGAGATTTCTGGAATGCACCGATGACAATTTCCTCATCCAAGTGTTACAGGAACCGACAAGAAATGGTGCTATGCTGGACCTTCTCCTTACCAACAAGGGGCTGGTGAGTAATGTGAGGCTTAAGGGCAGTCTTGGCTGTAGTGACCATGAAATGGATGAGTTCAAGATCCTTAGGGGCTCAAAGAGGGTGCACAGCAAGGTCACTACTCTGAACTTCAAGAGGGTGGAGTTCAAACTCTTCAGGGACCTGCTTGACAGAGTGTCATGGGACAAAGCCCTAGAGGGAAGAGGGACACAAGAAAGCTGTATTCAAGAGTCATTTCCTGCAAGCACAGGAGCAGTGCATCCCCAGAAAGAGGAAGGCAGGCAAGAATGCCAGGAGGCCACCATCGACGAACAAGGAGCTCCTGGACTTACTCTGGCACAAAAAAAACCAAGCAGGGAGTGGAAGCAAGAACGGGTTAGATGGGAGGTACACAAAGAGGCTGTCTGAGCAGCCAGGGATGAGGTTAGGAAAGCTAAAGCTGTGATAGAATTAAACCTAGCCAGGGACACAAAGGGGAACAAGAAGAACTTCTACAAGTACATTGGAGATAAAAGTAAGACCAGGGAAGATGTGGGCCCTCACTGAAAGGAAACCGGAGACATGGCCACAAGGGATACAGAGAAGGCTGAGGTGCTCAATGACTTCTTTGCCTTGGTCTTCACCAAGGGCTCTGGCCTCACCGCCCAAGTTACAGAAAAGGAAGGTAAGAACTGGGAGAAGGAAGATCCACCAACTGTAAGTGAAGATCAGGTTCAAGACCATCTAAAGAACCTGAAGGTGCACAAGTCCATGGGACCTGAGGGAACTGGCAGATGAAGTTGCCAAGCCATGAACCATCATATTTGAAAGGTCATGGCAGTCTGGTGAAGTCCCCACTGACTGGAAAAGGGGAAACATAAACTTCATTTTCAAGAAGAGTAAAAAAGATGACCCAGAAAACCACAGGTCAGTCAGTCTCACCTCTGTGCCTGGCAAGATCATGGAGCAGATCCTCCTGAAGGCTCTACTAAGGCACATGGAAAATGAAGGAGGGGTGACTGGCAAGCACCATGGCTTCACCAAGGGCAAATCATGCCTAACCAACCTGGTGGCCTTTTATGATGGAGTTACGGCATCAGTGGATAAAGGAAAAGCAACTGATGTCATCGACCTGGACTACTGCAAAGTGTTTGACACTGTCCTGCACAACATCCTAGTGGCAAAATTGGAAATATATGGATTTGATGGATGGACCACCTACTGGATAAGGAATTGGTTGTATGGCTGCACTCAGAGAGTTGCGGTCAACAGCTCAGTGTCCGCATGGAGACTGGTGATGAGTGGCATTCCCCAGGGACTGGTAGTGGGACCACTGCTATTTAACATCTTTGTTGAGTACATCCTCAGTAAGTTTGCTGATGAGACCAAGCTGTGTAGTACAGTTGATGTGCTAGAGGGAAGGGATGCCATCCAGAGGGACCTGGACAGGCTTGAAAGGGGGGCCCATGTCAACCTCATGAAGTTCAACAAGGCCAAATGCAAGGTCCTGCACAAATACAGGCGGAGCAGAGAATGGCTTCAGACCAGCTCTGAGGAGAAGGACTTGGGACTGTCAGTAGATGAAAAACCAAACATGAGCTGGCAATGTGTGCTCACGGCCCAGAAGGCCAACCGGATCCTGGTCTGCATCAAGAGAAGCATGGCCAGCAGGTCAAGGGAGGTGATTCTACCCCTCTACTCTGCTCTTGTGAGACCCCACCTGGAGTACTGTGTACAGTTCTGGGACCCTCAATGCAAGAAGGATGTCAAGCTGCTGGAAAGGGTCCAGAGGATTGCCATGAAGATGATCAGAGAGCTGGAGCA